ATCTTGGAGAGAGAGTTTTACCGTGCTGACTGTCATAACTGAACGTGACGTGCTGTTTGAATGCTGAGCGGAGAATAGCAGCAGAAGGAATTATATTTACATCATTACATCATTTCTGTAAACTTAAATTTAACAATGTAAATATAATTATGTCCCTCACATTAAGATAAGGAATGGCTTCAGATGATATAGGCTATACAGTGCATGAAAACCAAACTGGTGCTTTTCTGTTTCTTTTGGTGTATGACTCCCCCTTGTGACGTATAAAAAGCACAATAGTCGCGGTTGTCTGAAACAATTAGACGGTTATTTAATTATCGCGACAGGCCTAGTGATGAGACGTTTTATTTTTGGATAAACTATTGTATTCACAACATAATCTCTCTTAAAATACCTTATAGGGTTATGATAATTAAAACAGTCCTGAGCTAGATCAAGCTTTGATCTTTACAAACCAAACAATCACTTTAATTATTTTTTTTCCCCACTAATAAAAAGATTTTATCATTAGCTAGCTCCACACTGGAGAGCTGATTTATAACAGAAAATCAAGTTGTAATTCTAACTGAAAGCTACACTGACTCTGGCTTTTCATGTTTAATACTGTAAAGCTGCTTGATTTAATCTATTGCATAAAGTACTATAAAACGTGATGTCAACATCCACATCGCTGTAATCAGATGTGTTCTTAACTGCTGCTTTCTCACCGCTGTCAGTTTTTGTTGTTTATTTCGTTATTGAGAGGAAAGCGCGCAACATATATTTACACATTCATCCAAGCGCAGCTTAGCAGCTTCCAGTGTTGCCAAACCCCTCCCTCAGAAAATCGCTAGAACCACCCTCAAAAGTCTCCATTTTTCACAAAAAGTCGCCTTCAGGTTCGGCTGCATTTGCTCTGAACTGAAGCGCTGTGTCTTCTTCTCTTGAACTGCATCCAGGAGGGCTGAATTACAGTCTTGCACTACAGCGCCACACTGGTCAAACCGCATTATTGCAGACTCTTACATTAGGTCATATGAGATCAAATGACTACTAGACAACAAAAATATTTGTCGACAATTTTTTATTGTCGACATTGTCGATAATGTTGACTAATCGTTTCAGCCGTACTTCAAAAAATAGGCTAATCTAAACTAAAAGATCTGACCAATATACCAAGCTATTATAAGCCAACAAGTACTACCAACTCTGAGAAATACAATTATCAAATCAGGCCAAAAACAATAGTAGAAGTCACTCTTGAAAGATCTCGAAAGTTCACCTTACCTTAGGTGGGTCATAGAGCTCCAGCTGGTACCTCTCACTAGTGGTTTGTTCGTTGATCCTCCTGACCTGCAGGCGGCAGCGCAACCAATGCGGGGGTGTGTCTGAGATAGTGTCATCCACCTCCAGGTACCTCAGCTGCCCCTCTTTACAAACACTTCCTGTCTCTTGTCTCCGTCTCACAGTTCGCAATGGATTCCATCGTTCCCACCACGCACCCTTCTGCGAGGTGCGATGGGCGGGTACCTGCACAGTCTGAGGTGGGGTTTGAGGGGTGCATTCAACAGTCGCCGAGGGTCCTTTGATCGAATCCTCCCTTGGGAAACCACTTGAGGATTCGTCAAGTTGCGGGGATTTTTTAAAGAGTCGGCATATGCTTTCTCGAATGCCCCTGACGGAAAAGTGGGTTACGTCACTACGGGAAGGAAAGGGAAACAAAGGGGGAGAATATTGTTCAGACTCGGTCCTCCGCTCCGGGTGTTCATCTTCTTGGCTATGATGCCGCGTTCTATGTGTAGTGTTTGCAGGAGAGTAGCGCAGCAACTGCTCCTGTTCCCTAGGGACGCCGGCGGCATCTGGTTTGGGTGCCAACACGGCAACTAGCGGAGTCACTCCCGGCCGCACGGTCTCCCGGTAGTCCAGCACCCCTGAGAAGGAAGTGATGCGTAAGCGGGCAGTCATGGGCAGTAAGGGTGGTGGTGGCGGCAGACGTGGGGCAGGTTCTGCATCTTTAGCCACCTCGCTGCTGAAGTGGTGCTGGAAGAGGGCGCTGAATTGCTTCGAGAAACTTTCCGGCGGGACCACATCCTGCACCGGCCGCTCTCTGACGAAGCGCCGGTAGTGCTGGGCAAGTTCTCGGGCAGTGCTGCTGGCATGCAACTCGCAGAACTCCCTCCATCCACAAGGAGGTGCTACGAACGGTGCAGTGCCTGTGGTCTGCTGGACAGTGTTACCATTCATTGCAGTAACCAGCACAGCAGGGAATCACTGCGAACAACAAATTAACAACATCAAAAATTGCATCATTAAGCAATAAATTATGAAACTGTGCTATATTGTGTCTAGGGTTGCAAATAGGCAGAACATTTCTAGTAAATTCCTGGAAACTTTCCAGGATTTTTTGGAAGTTTTCAGAAACTTTAGAAAAGTTTCCAGAAATTCACTACCCCTTTGCAACCCTAACTGCGTCAACTAAAGTATATTGTGTATGGCTGCGTTCACAATATAGCACTGCCTCAAGTTAATAATAAAATGATAATTTAAGCCTTATTTTGAAGCTAATTCAGTATGTTCAAGCAAAGGTTAACACATGGACTCTATGGGTGCTGCATATTAATACTGAAAGTAATTTGCAGTAGCAAAACAACCATACGTTATTCATTAATGTTATTCATTGCTTATATGCAAACTAATAATATGTTTATAATTGGATTGATGGCTAAATAGGATTTAAAAGTCTTAATGCAAACACCATAATCAATTCAATTGAGCTTGATTCAAATGAAATTTTAGCCAAGTTGAGGGGCGTCGAAGAACTTAGGGCCAGATGCTTGCGCCAGCGCAAACCCTCTTTTGACGTTAAAAAACCACTGTCAGGATTTATTAAAAACGTGCAGTGAAAAATTAGCGCTGAAAAGGCGTGGACATTAATTTTTGCAGCTGACCTTATTGCATATGCATTTGTAGGAGTTTCCCTTTCAAGCGCAAAATTTATGGGAGGAGAGTATTTAAATGTATCACACAGCATGATTTAGTAAGGTTTGCAGTGATCAACTTACTGGTATTTTACTGGAGAAAGCATGTCTTAATTTGCACATGTGCTGTTAGTAGATTACACAAATTTATTATCATTGGCTCTGCTTGCTTCTTTATTTTGAGCATTGTCAGTAAATCACTTGCAGAACTCCCCATTCTACTCCCATCAGCATCCTATCCTGTTTTTAATTAGAATAAATTCTATATATTGTGTTATAGAGATTGGTTTTCATACCATATAAAGTTTCATTATTCTAGTGAGTGAGAACAATCTATCTCTTTGTTTACACTGCGCATCTACTAACGTAGGAATCCGTGTACCGAAACTGTTCAATGAATCCAACTTTCTATGAACGCTAACAAAGCGTATCAGTTTAGCTCATCACCACATTGCTGACAGCACCTCTTGAACTCAACTGGTACGATACAGATTCTTCACTTTTACTCACTCACTCATTCAGCTCTCCAGTACAGGAAGAGAGTGACTAATATCGCTCATGCTGCTTTATAACACGCCACAGGTCAGAGGCAGAAATATCTGTAAGGACATCTTTGATGTAAAGAGGGAGACTGAGGAAGTTGAAAGTGTCAAAGGCATCTGATACGGGTCACCGACGGGTGGAGCAAACCACCTTCAGAATCAGATCACAGACGCCATTTGCAGCCAGGGTAAATTTTCGTTTGAAGCTCAAAAAAAAAAAAATCAGCACATGGGTGCCGAGCTTCACCAGATGTATTGCGACACAACTGGAACCAATCTCCCCATTCTCATTCCCCACATTCTCATTTACCAGCGCGTGGACATCTCGGATGCCTGTGAACGTTTAACTCTGCGTGAGAAGTAAACGCGTTCTTAAAGTTCTGTTGGAAGCCCTGAAGCATGACAAAATGAAGGTTTAGTACATGAAAAAAGCAATAGATCAGAAAAACCACAACACTTGCATATTCAGAGAGAAACAAAAGATGAGGGGCCCATTCTATAGATGGCACCACATGCTCTTTGCTCTCTTATTGGGTGACAGGAAGTATTAACCTACACAAGGAGAGGAACACCTATCAAGTCAAGTCAAGTTTATTTGTACAGCGCTTTTCACGATACAAATCATTGCAAAGCAACTTTACAGCAAATTAAGTTTCTACAATATTTAGTGGTAGCTTATCAGTGGTGACTGTCAATTAATGTACATATGGCAGAAATGTATGGAAAAATAAATTTAAGACGTAATAAAACAGACGATAAACACTATTAACAGCAATTATTATATCATGCAATCAAACTTATAGCAAAATGTGGTAGTTCTGTAAGTTGTTTCAGGGTTGGCATCATCTGAGGTCCTCTGAGGGGTTGGCATCATCTCTTCTCAGGTGTTCTGGATCCAGACTGAAGCTTGTGTAAATCCTACCCGTGGCAAAAACAGAGAAACAAATAGAGACATAATTAGCGTAGCTGCTGTTCCAACCAAGCAAAATGTATTTGTTTAACCCAAACTAAAGAATAATAATAATGTGCATTTGATCAAATATAACTGCAGTACAAGATTATGAGATGCATTATTTGAATGCTTGGCCAAAGAGATGTGTCTTTAATCTAGATTTAAACAGAGAGAGTGTGTCTGAACCCCGAACATTATCAGGAAGGCTATTCCAGAGTTTGGGAGCCAAATGCAAAAAAGCTCTACCTCCTTTAGTGGACTTTGCTATCCTAGGTACTACCAAAAGTCCAGAGTTTTGCGACCTTAGGGAGCGTGATGGATTGTAGCGTGGTAGAAGACTAGTAAGGTACGCAGGAGCTAACCCATTAAGGGCCTTATAGGCAAGTAATAATATTTTGTAACTGATACGGAACTTAATAGGTAGCCAGTGCAGAGACTGTAAAATTGGGGTAATATAAAGCTTGATTATTGAGGATGCAGGACAATCACCTAGCAGTGCATTACAATAGTCCAGTCTAGAGGTCATGAATGCATGAACTAGCTTTTCTGCATCAGAAACAGGTAACATATTTCGTAACTTGGCAATGTTTCTAAGATGGAAGAATGCTGTTGATCAAGTAAAACTAGCAATGAGATACAGCCTTGGTCTGACGCAAGAAGCAAGTCATTTGTAATTTTAACAAGTGCAGTTTCTGTGCTATGGTGGGGCCTGAAACCTGACTGAAATTCTTCATAGAGATCATTTTTCTATCACACATTTAGCTGTTTTCTTTGGTGTGCAAAGTTCTTTTTTGACAAGACAAGCAAAACTGATTGCAAACGTCTTTGAGATGTGTTGCTGGTGTGGTGGTTTGGACACAAGGCTTCCTAACTTGCTTAAAGGAATGGTTTACTCAAAAATGCAAATTTTGGCACCATTTACAACATTATATACCACAATCCTCATTTTTGATGGAAGTCAACCTGAAATGGTTTTATATATTAAATAATCATGTGGTAAAGCCAATTTTGTGGTAATTCATTAAATGAATTCACTAGAGATGCACCGATCGATCGGCCAGGGATCTGAATCGGCCGATTTTCCTCATGATCGGCCCGGATCGGTGATCGGTCGGTCAGTCTCACTTCTTTCCGATTTCGAGCCGATCCGTTTTGTTACCAGCGGCACAGACAATAACGTCAGCTGCGCATTCTCATTCTCATCTCTCCAACGACCCCTTCTCTCTCACACACGTCTCATTCGCTCCGGTTAAATAGTGCTTGTATTGCGCATTATAGTCATTCCCGCAGGTTTCGCGCTTACACCAAA